TCCCTTGCTTCATACACCATACAAAGAAGAAGATACACAACCCGGCCTACTTCCCCATGAATGACCGATCTTGAACAAGACCATGGGTTCGTATACAATCATCAAGGACGAGTAGATGTGTGGAGATAACCCTTCTTCGACATCAACTTGGAGAGTGACCACACCGTCAACAACTATGTTGATCAGATCCTCTTCACTTTGACAACCGCAATCGACGAGCATCAAATCTCCAGATAGTGGCAAGTTCTCCAACATCCACCATCCCAAATTTTTGCTAGAAAAATACAACCTTTCTAGATAATATAAAAAAGCATAAAAAGAAGAAAAATTAGACAAAACAAACTTTACTTATATAAAATAAAAGACTTACAAACTTGACTCTTACAAACGACACAAACACAAATTAAAGACATAAACTCCTAAAGTTGATTTCCTTGAGAAGAAGGATACAGGTGGAGTGGATACTTGCGGAGAGACGAAAGAGGTTAGAAGCCAAGACGAAGGAGGAGAAGCTCGCAAGCTTTCCTAGAGGAGAAGGAGAATGGAACAAGCTCGCAAGCTTTTCCAAGAAGAAACCCGCAGGCTTAGGCTCCAAAAATCATTCACATAACATTTCTAAAACAACCACAAACAACTTATATTTATAGACAACAGAAGGGGAACTAAACAGCCCCAAAACTCTTCAAATTCTTAAATAAATGAGGGAAATAAAAAGCCAACAGTCAACTCCAGGAAACGAAGCACCAAAGCCACGGAAAAGCCCCCCAAAAGCCACGGGAAGCAGCCCAGCGAGGAACCCGAAGAGGCAACCACAAGAACCAAGGAGGCAGCCGTGGGAACCAAGGAGGCAGCCGTGGGAACCAAGGAGGCAGCCGTGGGAACCAAGGAGTATATTGATTAGACATTTCAAAAATGAGTAAGAGCAAAATCATAAAGGAAGATCTACCTAAAATAACATAATCAATATCCACTAAGTAGTAAATCAAATTATAAGTAATCATTTAAAAAGAAAAAAAAAACATCTATAACAATTTTATCCACCCATGCTACCTTCTTTGTTTGTTAATATGATTCAGGATTTAAACTTGTGATGTAGGGCTAGTTTAGATATAACATTTATATCACTCACACTATCAATTATGAGTTTGCAAATTTCCTCATATTTGAAATATTTTTGAAAAATTGCAATCTCTTCCAATCAAATTTAACCTTCGGAGTAAATTTGCAACTATATATGTCAATGTCATAGAATAGTGCGCATCATGGTGCATGACGCGGTGCGGCGCGCACGCTCATTCAAAATCGTACTATTTGCGCCATGAAAAAGCAATAGTGCTTAGTGCAAAGCACAAATAATAGTCAAAAGTTTGCTTTAAAAGATTTTGATTTTAAAATTATAAATTATATTTAAATTTATTAAATCTATCATTTAATATATAAATTAATCTTAGCACTTGCACAAAAAGTTGGCACACTTGCGGAAGAGTTTTAGAAAAGGGAGTCACGCATACAGGCTTCGATCGAGAGGCATTGACTTGGATCAGAGGTTATGAAGATTCCTAGGTTTTGATCGCAGATTCCTACACACCCACACGAAAGAGCTAGCACAAGCGTAGAAGAGTTTAGAAGAGGGAGTTGAGCATACAAGCTTCGATCGAGAGGTACAAACTTCGAGCAAGAGGGGTTGGCTTGGATTAGAGGTTACGAAAGTTCCTAAGCTTTAATTATGTCATGTTCAAAATGGCGTGCATCGCACTGGGTGCTATTCGTTATGACTCCACATGAAGCCTCACGCCATGGTGCACATTCATCATTGATAATTATGTATGCAAATGCTTGAGATTTAATGAATTATCAATTAAAGCATCCTCATAATCATTAAAGTTTTATTCAATATATTAGCATCATCAAAATTATTGATTGAATATCTTCATCCTCTGCATTTATCTAAAAGTTCCATTAAGATGCTCATTAGCATAGTGACTAATTTGATGAAAATTAAAACAAGCCATAACAAGAATCTAAAACACATGCAAGTTCAATTGATTTCAATTTAGCTTCTTTATTAATTTTAATGTCATTAACTTTAAATGTGGTGGATGCAACATATTGAACTTGGTTACTTTAAAGAAACAATGTATTCACTGAATGTGGATTAACCCATTTAGACATGAGAAATTTTTTACATCTGCCCAAATATAAAGCAAGTTAAAAATTGTATTCTCAATTGATGGGATGTGGTGAGTTGTCGTATCTCTATTGATATGAAGTCCCAAATCAAACCTAAATCTTAATAGCATGGTTTTGAGATCGGCAATGATTATATAATGCCAAAATAGTTCTTAAATTTTATTCATGTATTCAATTATAATTTTTTTAATTGTTTCAATGAACTAAATTCATCAAGAAAATCATTTTGATATGATTAAAACAAATATTTTTCAATTAAAAATTCTTTCATTTCAGTCAATGTGACAATAAGGTCCCTTCTCAACCTTTCCCTTCATGATTCCATGCTTGTCCAATAAATTTTAGCTAGTCTAATTAATTTTATTTTTGTACATCTGGCTTCTCAGTTCTCATTCATAGCGCACAATCATCTCAAATTTTAGGATCAATGTTACATTCAGGCAGGCATTTCAGCTTAAACTTTTCATGTTATCATCAATTTCATCAAAATTTTGACAACTGCGACTTTTATAATTATCATTGTTAATCACCTTGAATTGCCTATTAAATGATTTACCATCTCCTGCCATAATTAACATTCAAATGAATAGGCAAATCATTGTGATTGAAATCCATTTCAGGTTCACGTGCATAAATTTGATTATTTTTAAATTTATCAATTTGTGATTTAACCATAGTAATACCATCACTTAATAGGTTTAATTTATTCAAAAATTCAACAACAAAGTAGTCAAAATTTCTTCCCTTTCACAATATGTTAGATTACCCTAAAAATTAGCAATGCTTCTGAGTGACATGTCAACAAAACCAATAGCTTTGATACCCATTCAAGGCAAAATTATTTAGGGTTAGAGTTTTTTAATGAGACTTTTATGATGTAATACATGAAAATCATAAAACAAAACTTCCGGAAAAAAGATGAAATAAGCCAATAACTTCCTTTCTTCAAATACAAATAATAAATACAAGAATTAGAATCCACATGATATCACAATGATCAAATAAATCAAATAAAATCATAGAAATTTGACACAAGTAAAATTAACAAGCAGGTATAATTTAATCACAAGAAATTGAATTTTAAATGAGCCAAATTTGAACAAAATTTAAAGCACTAATAAGTTAATGATAATTCTTGTAAAGGAAATTAGGTCAACGATAGAAGTTATCAAAGTACGAAATACATGCCTCATGTTAGTACAAGATGACTTTCCTTGAAAATAGAAAATTGCACTTAAACCATAGTCGAAGTACTCACACATCTAATTTGCAAATAGAAATTTAAAATTTGAAGAGAAATTTTATTCAATAAAAATATCAAATTGCATGTTTTAAAAAATTTATGCATACACCTCATTGCTGGAAGGAGAGCGAGTGTGTGAGAGTGAGGATTATTGCTGGGGGGATTAATGTTATGCTAGAAGGGGAGAGTGATTGTGTGTGCGAGGCTCCTGCTTGAGGGGGCTAGCTATATTTTCATGTTGTGTTAGTCCAGTAAGAGTTTAGAGAGAGGGAAGGAGTGCAAGGAATCAGTAATTCAATTGTAAATGGTTTTTTGGTGATTTCTATCCTTATTTATCTCGTATATATTTATTTTCTTTTTCTATATTGCAATGAAGCCTATTTCGTTTAGTTTAGATTTCATGTCTGGCTAAAAACTTCTCTCTGGGCATCTAATAATTTAGAAACCATGTTTTGCTTTAGATTAGATTTGTAATTACATTAATTATTCAATGCCGTTTTTAAATCATCCATGCTTAATTTAGTTTATGAAGATGTCTTGCATAAACTTAAAATAAAGTATGATCAACAGTCTCGACAAATCAACAGTCTCGACAGAGGAGTAGAAGAACAATTAGGGGATTTAAAACTTAACTTTGTCATCCCGTGGTTAAAGTTATGGGATCTTGAGGAGATTAAAACTGTAGTTGAGAGAAATTTTAGCTAACATACTAATGAACTCGACTGAGACGAAGAGTAATTATAGTCTGATTCATAGCAATATTAAGAAAATTCTAACTATTAAAAGCATGAGTTTTTAAATATCATAGGCTCATCTTACTTTAAATATAGAATTTGCTTCTTGAATATGTTGCTGTTAATTTTCAATCGCACGCCCTTTTTTATCGATTGATAAGATAAATTGAGTGGTTCATATAGGTAGTACTAAAGTGACCTTATGGTAATTTTAATCTTTGTGGGAACGATGCTTTTCTCTTCACTTTATTACTTGACACGATATGTATACTTGTGTAAAACAGGATTTACACCATATTGTAGCAACCATGATTAAAAGAATATTAGTGTGCCTGTCATATAGTTAGCACAAAATCAGTCCAATATAATTCCAGACAACCATTAAGTTAAATTTTGACCTCATCCAAAATCCAAACCAATAAGAATTATATCAACTGCTAAGCAATTTCCACCATGAACATATATCACCAATTAAACAGAGAAATAGTAGCAAGCAAATCATGTTAAGAAATATCACATGAGCAGCAGCCGCTTTTAACACAAATATGAACAGAACTAGCGGCAAGATCCAATTAACAAAAAGACCAGCACAGGAATAGCAATCTACAGACAACAATCACAAATATCTAGATTGGGAGAACGTCGGACTAAAATCCTGCATCAAATATAAGTAGAAATTGTTCTATGCATAATATGGAAGAAAACTTTGATTAATGCATTTAATGATTGTTGGATAACTCAATCCTAGCAATCATAAGCCATTTTTTGCTTCCAAAATATCCAGCAAAATACATAATCAAGGAGCAAATGACTTGATAACTGAATGCCAATACCTCACTTGGATTACCCCACAAACGGCGTAAGTAAAAGTCTGATTCAGGCACAATTATTTCTGGCGGTAGCCTTTCTGCTCCTTTAGGATTCGTAGAAACATAAATCTACAAAGCAATAATATATTTTTTCAAAGACATCAGTCAGCAAAAGAAAATTTAAATGGTATGGTAAAAAAAGAGGTATTTCTCTTTGATAAAGAAAATGCTAACAAGATTGCATAGCTCTACAACAATAGATCCATAGCCCTTATACATCCTGAACCTGAAGGGAAAACCTCCATAGAAGAAACATGCACAGAAATGACTAGAGAAAGAACAAAATAGAAACAAAATATGCGGACTATTAATGCCAAATCATCCAAAAACTGTAAGAACATCTACAACAAATGTAGATAAACTGTCATCTAACGTATTTAGACAAATTTCCCATTCGGCAATTCTTCTACAGCATCAAGCCGCTAGTGATGCATAATATTTTCTATCCAAAAGCTAATAAAAGGAGCCACCAGAGTATTAAGCCTTTTAACAATGACATCAAATAGACAAAATAGAAGAGAATATAATACATATTCTCTCGCCCAATTAAAGAAAAGCCTCCAAGAAAATTTTAAAGAGAGACTAGAAAAGTTATTATCCAATAAACTATACAACCTAGTGGACAATAAGTGAAAACCCCATAATAATAATATTTTGATATATCATCAAAAAATTATTTTGATCGGGCAAGAATCTCGAGGCAAAATCAAGCCGGAAACTTCAAAAATTAAATTCAAGATCACCTGAACTCCGATTTCAGCAAACTTACAGTCAAACTGAGCGTCTCGGAAATACGAACTCAACGACACCAAATTCGACTCAATCCGAGCCCACATGAGTCCAAATCAAGCACTTGAAACGCTGTTGGAAAGTTCAAACCATAATTTGAGTTACCAAACGGTTTACAAATATGACGTTCTTATAGTCGAATCGAGCGGCTCGACGAGGCGAATCCAACGAGCCCAAGATCGCCAAATTCCAACATCATTAAGACCTTCAAATGTCTGACGAACGGTGCACGATCAAGGGATTCAATATCGGCCGTCCATCCGACTACTCCCTATTTACCCCCGATCTCTCACCTATTTACAAGTCATGCCACTCCAAAATATTTATAAATAGATCCCTTATTTCTCATGAGAGGGGACCCAAGCAAGAAGAAGAAGAGAAGAAGAAGGGAAGGATTGGAGTGAAGAATCTTCTCCACGACCACCGCCGAAATTCTGCCCGACGCCCGAGTGACGTCGGAATTATGCCCGACGCTCAAGTGATGCCGGAATTTTGCGAAGTTCTGCCTAACATTCGAGTGACGCCGAAAATCCGCCCAATCTCCAAGTGTCGCCGGAGCTCTGCCCGACGTTATAACTAATTTTCAGTCCATAAGTGATTCATTGTAATCTGATCGTCCTAAATTTTAAGAACGAGTTAGCCTCTTGTATTTCAAGCAAACACTAATAGAACTCTTTCAACTGGGCGTGGCCCCGTGATTTTTCCCCTTTCAGGGTTTTCCATGTAAAAATACTGGTGTTGTTATTTCATTTCCTGTTTGTGTGCTAGATATCCGTACAACGCTGAGCCGGAAATTTTCTAACTCTATCGCCGCGTATATTCTAGCCCGCAACAATATTAAAGGTCATCTTACATTTAATAAACAATAAACAATGATACCATTACAGTTTCTATACTTGATCGTAATTAAGAATGCTAATGACCACAAGATTTCTATTCCAATATTTTTAGTTCATGCATTCCCGTGTAATTCTTTTCATAATTCCCAATTCAAACTGTCAAAATAACTTCCTGAAGAAAATACAGATCATTCTAAAGCACTTGCAGGAGATATCACCTTGAAAAAAGTCTGCATTCAAAACTGATCAGCTAAGCTGTCATTAGAAAATGGAATGGCTGTATAGTTAGAATACTTTAATGTTTGTAGTTTTCATGAAAGCTCCCAATCTTCTAAGCATTAGCCCCAGGTTGCATCAGTTTCCATGAAATGGCTTCATTGTATCAACCACAAGCCTAAGAAACCAAGTGGCTGATGCTTAGCAGATTGACAGCTTTCATGAAAACAACCATCAGGAAAAAATACGAATGATAAGAAAAATATTTCATTGATACCAACCACTTATTAATCAATAGGCTTAAGCTTGATAAATGTCACAAAATAATACAAAAAATACAGAAAAATAAATCTTCCGATATAAAATTATTGTTACACAATAACTGCAGGCTGAAAAAAAAATTCTTTCAGTACGAGAAAAGAAATCAAGACAGTTTGGCACATGCAAAAAATATAAGCTCATGAGAAAATCATTTTGGTTGAAGAAACAAACCTTGGCGGTACTAGTTGAATTTAATAAAGAATTGTTGTTATGTGTAGATATCCAAGCATGGTTCAGTAAGGCTTGGGTTTTGATGCCTGAATTCTTGTCTTCATTGTAAGAAGCAATACTAGAAGGGAAGTGAAGCTGCCAAAATAACGGGAAAGAAACAATATGATTTGTATTACAGATTTGCAAATATCAAAAAAGAAGAAAAGCAGAGCCTTACCTTGGTTATGTTAACAGATGGAAATGAAATTCCAATCAAAAAGCCAATAAGGAATCCAACAAACGTGGTCATGATGAGCCTCATACCATCATTTGTTTTCCTTATTAATCCACTGCAAAAAATAGTTCTTCCAGTATTCTAATATATTTGAATTGAATTTAGGTCAAAGAAGTTAATGTTAATATTGCTTATAAACCTGCGTCCAAGAGTTCCAAGTTTTGCCATGAACTTTGAATTTTAAATTCAAAAAGGGAATAAGTTTATGCAACAAAGAGCAGCACCACATATTTCCGTAAGGTCATAATTTCTAATTCTTCAGCAAGCAGATATTGACCACCATGACAATTAATGTAACAAAAATCTGCAATAATTTAAATTAATTAAATGAAGTTAGATAATTGAAAAGGGCCACGGACAAAAAACAAAAGTAATCCAGAAACAGAAACCAATAGACTGAAAAAACAACTTTGTCAAGAAAAGGCATGCCATCTCCCTTGATACTACGTACACTCCTTTTCCCATTACCCATTTTCATTGAATAGGTCAACATGGCCCAAGCCTTTTCTTGCTTCTACCATGTTAGTATCATATACAAAATTGCTTCTACCATGTTAGTAAACAGATTAAAGTGTTGCATTTCCAAGCTCATCTCTGAGGAACAGGTGGCCTTTATTCCGAGTAGATCTATGTCCGATCACTGCCTTCTTGCTCTTGAAATTTTTAACAAATTCAGGATTTCTAAACATAGGAAGGGTCTCATGGCGGTCAAGCTTGACATGGCCCAAGCCTTTGATAGTATGAGCTGGGAGACATTGGAGCATGTTCTCCAATGGTTCGGTTTTCCAGAGAAATATTCATTCCTTATCTTGGAATATGTTACCAATGTTCGCTTCTCTATTCTCCTAAATGGCAAGGGCTCTAGATGGATTGAAGCCAAAAGTGGCTTCAGGCAAGGCTGTCCGATGTCGCCTTACCTTTTTATCTTGTGCTCCCAGCTCCTTTCCAGTGTTATCAATCAGCGAGGCCATCATTTGGGCATCCAAACTTCTTCTAGAGCTCCTAGAATTACTCATCTCTTATACGCATATGATGTCTTACTGTTTGGATCCGCTTCCTCCTTTAAGCTTCAAGTTATGATAAATTTAATAAGGGATTATTGCGGCTGGACTGGACAGAGCATCAATCAGGCCAAGTCCCAAATTTTTTTTGGGAAGTTTGTCAGACCAGTTATAAGACGGAAAATTGGTAACAAATTTGGTCTCAAAATTGTTAATGAACTCCAGTATCTGGGCACTAAAATTGTTCTTAGGAGATTGGTCAAGAACGACTTCCAATTCATTGTTGATCATGCTTTGGAGAAACTCAATGCTTGGCGTGCTAGATTCCTTTCTTTGGCAGGAAGGATGACTCTTGCCAAGACCTCTTTACTCTCATTGCCCACTTTTATATCTTCGCATTCCTTGATCCCCAAGAGAATTCTCTATGATTTGGACCACATATGTAGAGACTTTATCTGGCATCAGAATCAAGGGAACAATGGTCTTCATTACATTGCCTGGGAAGAGTTATGCATACCAAGAGCTCTCGGTGGGATGGGTATGTACTCTGCTGTTAAGAAAATTGGTCCCCTCCAAGCTAGAATTGCTTGGAGTTTTTATCAAAACCCATCCTCTCTTCTTTATAAATGTATATCCGCCAGATATGGCCCTGCCATTTGGAATGGTAAGTCCAAAAGTGGACAATCTGCTGCTCGAACTATTATTTTGGATGGAACATCTTTCCTAAAACCAATTGTCAAGTGGAAAATTGTGAATGGTGCAAGTATTAATGTTATGAATGACATTTGGTTACTTGAAAAATGTTTCAACAAATGGCCAATACTTGCGGATTGCATTGGACTTGAGAATATGATGCTTAAAAACTTCATCCTCGGTGATGGTAATTTGGATCTGCTGGAGCTCAACCGTTTTTTCAACATCAGCATGGTTAATCTTATTATACAGCATAGTGTTATCCATGATGGTGATGATGATCATATGGAACTTCTCTATCAACATTCCGGGAATCTATTTCATCCATGGCTTATGCTGAAATCATCAAATCCCTCAATTCTATTGATGAGTTTGGATATGTTACTTGGCTTCAAAAGTTACATCTCAAACCAAGAGTGGAGCTCTTTTGGTGGAGATTGGGTAGGTTTGCCATTCCTACCAATGAGTTTCTGAAATATAGACGTATTGGTAATTGCGACCTTTGTGCTAGAGGTTGTCCTGAAGTGGAAAGTTGTGCTCATGTTGCGGTCCATTGCAAATACCTCATTGACATTATTCGTATGTTGAGATCTTGGGGTTTCAACATCCCCCTTTTCAGCTCGTTAGCTGATTGCCTTCACCATTTAAGACATCTTTCCAAAATAAGTTTGGACATTGTCAAGATTTACTACACAGCTGTCTTCTTCTCCTGGAATTGCAGAAATGATGTTAAGCATGGCAACCCCATTCTACCCATTTCGGTGACTGCTACTAACGTCCTATTCACTGCCACTAATAAAAATCCAATGCTAGTTAACTGGGATGTCTCTCTCCTTAGGGAGTCCAATTCTTCATGGCACCCCCCACCACCGGATTGGATAAAAATTAATGTTGATGCATCTTTAGTGGACTCAAATTTGGCTAGCCTTGGAGGTGTTGTCTGTGACTCCATGGGAAGACTGCTCCTAGCCTTCAGTAAGCAGAAAATTCATTGGGATGTTAACCAACTTGAGTTGGATGCTGTTTTCTCCTTGAAAGAATTCATCAAAGATTGGATATTTGAAAGCAAAGGTTTAATAATCGAGGGAGATAACCACAATGCCATCAAATTTCTCCATGATTCCGTGAAGAAATCTAAGACCAACAACCAGATTTCCGAGAAGATTTCATTCCTTCATGACCTTAATAAGGTTATCTTCCATCACACATCTAGGAATTGTAACAAGGTTACTGACTTGTGTGCTACTCTTGCTCTGGACAATAGTTTTTGTTTTGATTCTTTTACTTCTTCTGATATTCCTTCTTCCTTGTCCGAATTGTTGAAGAAGGAATATGAGATTTGCACTTCTTGATTGGTTTGTAATAGTTTTTTTCTTTTGTTCTTAATACAATTTTGCACTTAAAAAAAAAAAAAAAAAGAGGATAAAAGAATTAACTTTGATCTGAGAGAAAATCAGTCAGCGTTCAACCATAGCATATAAATTCTTCCAATGTAAATAACAACTTTTAACCTTATTTATATTTATATAAACAAAAATACTGAATATTCTTGCCCAGAACTGCATCCATCACCTAGATTTTGTGGTTTATAAAGTTCTCTTCTTAAAAAACAAAGATGTGCATCATTTAACATTGTAGTAAATAAAATTAAGATAAGTAACTTACTAGAACTTTTATGTGCATTTGGATAGGATGTGGTACATATGACAGCAGCAAAACCACAAATCGGGACGATCAGTTTTTAAATATTAAACTACATTCACGCATGATCATGCTTTATATAGGGCTCCTTAACTTTCAGTACATGCATTTCTTTTGTAAGAGTGATGCACTGCAAAAAATTAAATTTAGGGTTTATTTCAAATATTTCATTTAAATTAGGATTTCCTGGTTTAATTTTAATTAAAATCATGTTTATTTATCTTTTTGGATAATATTTACTTTGAATTTGAATAATTTAGGCTTTATGTAGAATTAAATTTTAATTCATTTTCATTTGATCTATTTTTTGTAAAGTATCTTTCTATAAATAGAATATTCATGTCTTGTAAGGAAATTCAATTTAATAATGAGTTGAAAATTGGGTCATTTTCGTATCACTCTTCCTGCTCCACCTCCTTTAAGTTGCTCTACCCAAATACAAGTTCCCCTCCATCTGCTTCCCTTTGCTACTTCTATTGGTATCATAATTGAAAGATCCTTGTACATTGATTCATCATTTTGCATGCTATCAAGTATTTTCTCGTAATTCCTCTCTAGCATCTACCTAGGTCAGCCTTCTCCTGGCGCCTCCTTTCCTGTGTCAAAAACCTCAGCCTTCCTTGCCTGTTGGATACCCTCATTAAACCTAACTCAATTATTTTTCTCATTGTTGTTGGTTTGGAGGAGATATATGTTGGATCTTGCAATCTTTGCTTTCCAATTGTTCGACAATGTTGATCTATTAATTCAAGTGGCTTTAGTGGAATTTTGTTAACCAAATTTCTATTATCGTGTCATAAAATGTTTTCCATTTTACAGAATGAAGAAGAGGATATCAAAAGTACCAACAAGAATTGTTGATTTCTCTTAAATAAATTGTTAGATCAATTTAGCTGGTTGATTTTTCATGGGTCTTTGTTGAGTTCATATAAATTTGTAAATAAGTTGAAGCATGAACTATGACTACATTCTGTCATTGTTATTGTGAACACAAAAAGAGCTTTTGAATGGTTGATGGTTCTTTTGATTGATCTAATAATAAATGTTGTTTTCATTCCACGAAAAGTTTGAGTTATTCTCCATATCATCACTATCACTATGATATGCTATTTTGGATTTTCTCTTATATTACACTTGCTTCCGTCTCCTATTACCATTTCACTCTAGTGAATATGAATTTACATGACGCTTTGAATCATTAATTGCACTTTTGAAAGAGAAATCAAATAAGAATAAGTTCATTTCTTGGGGCTGAAAATGAGGGAGAGTTCAATGATCAAGGGAGCTAAAAAGGGTCCAACCCTCTGAGTTGTTTGGGTTAAGCAAAAATGATAAAAAATAGAGTGGTTGACTGATTGTAAGTCCACAAATTAAAAGGATGTTGGAAGAGATGCCCATCAAATTCTACTTACATCAAGAACTTAGTGCTTCCATTGTATAGTTTAGGTATCTCTCTAATTTAGTATTGTTCTTTACTACTGTAAAAATTATTTTGTTTAGTAAATAAAAAACATTACTGTTTCAATTGAAAATTTAATTTGTGCACATGCCATTGTTTTATTGATAATCTTTATTGTAATTGTTCTTATTTTAAATATATTACCATGAGTTTGCATGAAAAATGAGAAAGAGTATTCATTATCAGGATTTACAAAATCCTATTTGAATAGGATTTATCAAATCCGGATTTGATAAATCCTATTCAAATAGGATTTTGTAAATCCTGATAATGAATACTCTTTCTCATTTTTCATGCAAACTCATGGTAATATATTTAAAATAAGAACAATTACAATAAAGATTATCAATAAAACAATGGCATGTGCACAAATTAAATTTTCAATTGAAACAGTAATGTTTTTTATTTACTAAACAAAATAATTTTTACAGTAGTAAAGAACAATACTAAATTAGAGAGATACCTAAACTATACAATGGAAGCACTAAGTTCTTGATGTAAGTAGAATTTGATGGGCATCTCTTCCAACATCCTTTTAATTTGTGGACTTACAATCAGTCAACCACTCTATTTTTTATCATTTTTGCTTAACCCAAACAACTCAGAGGGTTGGACCCTTTTTAGCTCCCTTGATCATTGAACTCTCCCTCATTTTCAGCCCCAAGAAATGAACTTATTCTTATTTGATTTCTCTTTCAAAAGTGCAATTAATGATTCAAAGCGTCATGTAAATTCATATTCACTAGAGTGAAATGGTAATAGGAGACGGAAGCAAGTGTAATATAAGAGAAAATCCAAAATAGCATATCATAGTGATAGTGATGATATGGAGAATAACTCAAACTTTTCGTGGAATGAAAACAACATTTATTATTAGATCAATCAAAAGAACCATCAACCATTCAAAAGCTCTTTTTGTGTTCACAATAACAATGACAGAATGTAGTCATAGTTCATGCTTCAACTTATTTACAAATTTATATGACTGCAAAAAATCTCCATTAATCAATCATAGATCCTTGCAAATTGCTCAACTCATTTTTGTTGATCATCATCATCTACGACGAAAATTATCTACATTACCTCTGCTACAGGTAAAACGTCTAATCAATAGGCTCTCAACTCACCCCATCACAACGAGTTGACTGTGGAGCATGCATATCCTACAACTCAAGCTTACTCACCTCTTCCTAGCAAGCAATATGCGGATCCATCAGAAATATGCCAGTGATTACAATACACCTACCAATGATTCAAGTGCGCTAGCCAGCCACAACCCTCTCTATTCTAAACTTGCTAACAAATGCACCAAGATTTACTCGTTCATAAGCACTTCGCATAGCAGAACTCCTCTAAAGAAAGATAATCAAGATATAGGGAAACAATATCTCATCTAGATAGCCAGAATTTTACATGTATCTTAGGTAGTCAGTATTAAGAGTCAAGTAATTTTTTAATATTACTAATGTAGCCCTTTTATAGCTCTCAGACCCCTATAAATAAATGAAGTGAAATATTTTGAATCTTTTAGCACTTTTATTATAGATGCTCTCTCTCGCTCTCTCTCTCGCTCTCTCTCTCTCTCTCTCTCTCTCTCTCTCTCTCTCTCTCTCTCTCTCTCTCTCTCTCTCTCTCTCTCTCTCTCTCTCTCTCTCTCTCTCCATGTTTATACATGTTTTTAGGTTATACACACAGAGCTCTCCTACTAGTAAGGTTGGTTATCACCCAAACAATCCTACCAATTTTTTTGTAATAATTGATATGTCATAAAAGTATCATGATCGATGTATATTTGAATTGAAAACATTTAAAATTAATTTTGGGACCACGCAAACTCGATTTTAGCAAGCTTATTATTAAACTAAACATCTCAATGAGATGTACCCATGACATCAAAAGTAGTCCAATTTGAGTATGAATGAGCTTAAATAAGTCACTTGAAGTAAAATTAAAAATATTAGGACATTAATTTGGATGACTAAATGATCTCCAAATATTTGATTCTTATACTCGAATCGAGCATCTCAACAAGATCAATCCAATAAACCATAAATTACTAAATTAAGATATTATTAAGGTACTTAAATGATAAAGAAATATTATATGAATGAAGGAATTTGTATGGGTCATCCGATGGAATAATTCAAATTTTGGCTATATTTACGAGGCATGAAATTATTAAAAATCTACAAATAGATGCCACTCTCTATATAAAAATGGATTGAGAGCTTACAGAGTTTAAGAATCTCAATGCTTTGAGTACCACTGTTGGGCCAACATTTGACCACATTATCATACCACTGCCTAACTGTTGTTGTCCAACCATTGCTTGATCACGCTTGTTGGAAACACCACCTGATTACCACCATCAAACTCCTCCTAATTTCCATTATTATACCACTATCATTTAATTATAATTTTATGACCATCTTAGCTTAATTATGGTATTTTCCAAACACTATCACTTGATTAGGTCCCCCTACCATCATATCCAAATTGCGGTCTAATGGGAGCAGTGGAGTAACCTAAAAAATTATGAAAATGATTTTGGGTTCTATCAATCCCTAAACAATGTTTAGGCTTTCTTTAATATAAAAATTATAAAATCTCACTTAATATACGTAAGTATACATGCCAAATTAAATAATATAGTGATATAGTAGAGTATCGATTCCACGAGAAAGAATATTTACTTCCAAGTACTAATATTGTCTACTTTAACTACAATAATTATCCTACTCAATTGAAATAAGTTTGGGTGAAGATTCAATCATTTAATTAAAATAAAAAAAAATTAATTAAAATACTATTCAAATAAATAGTTTTTATTAATAAAATGTAAATAAAAATATTTTCTAATGATTCTTTTTTATATTGATATTATTAATATCACATACATCTCTGACCGCTTAGTCAAGCAGGAAGAAAAGAAAGACATATTAACTCTTCCAACCTCAATATCATTCTAAACTCATATAATCTATCATCATATAAAAATCTTAGAAGAGTCAGTAAAGCATGTGCTGTTAAAACTCCCTCATGATAATTCATCTCTATAAATTTGAATCATGACAAGCACTATGTCTATGCTTGCATCATAGCAATCCAACATACCTGGTTATGCCTGCTTTTCTATTCCAAGGATCCATATTACACCTGATATTAACTACACATATGACCAATATGTGTATT